ACCATTAATCAAATTCAGATTTATTAAATGTACAATATATAATATATATTACTTTTAATCTTTTTGCCAACTCTGGTGGAACTTTGAATCCACGTTTACTAAGTACGATTGAAGGTTCAAAAAGGGTTTCCCATTTTAACTTTCCAAAGCTAATTTTTTTAATAGAAAAGTCATCATTATCATCATTATTATATAATAATCATCATTAATTAATTAATGTAAATTTTAATTTGAAGCTTTACTTTTTATGTGCTAATTCCAATCCACGAATCTCACCACTTTTCAAAATCCAAAAATTAATAGAATAATATTAGTAAGAATTAATTCGTTTTTCACCCTCATGAAAAAACAAAATAATATAATAACAAAAACAAATAATAAATAACTTACGGAACTCCCACACTGAGTCCACCAACTTGGGATAAAAGAGGATTATTCTTGTACATAAGTTTGGTGGATGCACCTGGAGCTGTTTCTCGGAAATCAATGGCTTGTGAAGTTCCATTAGAATCTCGGATCAGTATAAACCCTCCACTATCAGTTGATTTTTACAAGTAAATATCTTTATTTTATTTAAAATTCAATAAATCAATAATATATTATAGATGATAATCAATTACCCCCCTACACCAGCAGAATGAGAATTTATTACGCCAATACATAACTCTGCTGCAATTGCTGCATCAACAGCTGAGCCTCCTTTCTTCAACACTAATTATTATCAATAAATAAATTACGACCTTGTTTTATAGTATTAATATATTAATATATTTATATATATATATATACTGACTGCTGACTCCAATCTCGGAACATTTGATTTGTTCAGATGAAACCGCTCCATTTTGAACAATTACAAGGTTAGAATCACTTTTTATTTCATAACCTAAAGTTATTAAATAAATTAATAAATTTATACTTTTTACCATTAAATATCATTAATACCATTAATACCATTAATACCGTTATTGTTGTTATCAATTATATTATTGTTGCTGATGTTAAATCCATAACTGAAAAACCAAATAATGACCCTGATCAAATAAATCAAAAATATTTGCTGCATTTTAAATAATTTCTTTTCACTAAAATTTTTGATCATCCATCAATATAATAAATAAGGAAAATATAAATGATTTATGCATCTTACATGAGTAGTTCAT